TTGTGTCTAGTTGTGTTTGAGCTCAGGGAGGCCAGGGGGGACAGCTCAACATCACTCGTGTCGGGGGCACCTGTGGTGGCCCAAGCACTCTGCCATCAAAAACGGGCTCCCGGGCTCTGTTTTCGGCTGCAACGGCTCCCCACAGTCCGCTGCCAGTGAAAATGGAGCCCTCCCAACCTCCATTTTTGTTGGTAGAGGCAATATGGACTGGTCCTTTGCTGTTTCCAGGATGGCGGGGCTTGAGTTAGACACCCCCGATGTACATCAACATTACACTGAATCTTAGGGCATGTAAAATTTCCAATTTCCAAACATTAGGGGTGCTCAAAAGTTGTGACATGCCTTGGCAATTGTAAAAGATATTTTGGTTATAAGGTAAAGCTAAAGGTTCCCCTCGCACATACGTGCTTGTCGTTTCTGGCTCTAGGGGGCGCTGCTCATCTCTGTTACAAAGCCAAAGAGCCAGCGCTGTCCAAAGACGTCTCCATGGTCATGTGGCCGGCATGACTAAACGCTGAAGGCGCACATAACGCTGTTACCTTCCCACCAAAAGGAACTATTTTTCTACTTGCATTTTTACGTGCTTTTGAACTGCTAGGTTGGCAGAAGCCGGGAGAAGTAATGGGAGCTCACTCCGTTATGTGGCGCTAGGGATTTGAACCGCCGAACTGCCAACCTTTCTGATCGACAAGCTCACTGTGTTAGCCACTGAGCCACCGCGTCATATTTTGGTTATACTTTAATATAATGTAAATGTGCTTGGTAAACAACTACATAAGTGTCATAACTTTTTAATGTGTTTGTTTATTTCATTTGGGGATGCTATAAAATGAATGGGAAAAAGACTGGAGGGAAGCATGACCACTTTGGGGGACCTCCAGACAAGAGAACATTTGGAGATGTGAGAAAACTGAATGTTCCAAGACAGAGTTCAGATTATGCTCAAGAGTTTTTTTCAATTTACAGCAGTCATATTGTGATGACTCGGGGCATGGCGCAAAGGCAACACAGTCAAATAAGCAAGAAGAGTCCCTTTATTATCTTCAACTTGGCTCCCAATGTCCCCGTTACCTTTGGCTGGAGAAAAACTCTCCCAGGAACAGTCTTTTAAGTGGAGAAATTCAGTCCGAAAACAAAGTACATACAAACTGTAAATAAAAATCCACACAAACCATGCTGCAGTAATTAACTTGACAGGGCAGGAGAAGGAATTGTAGACTTGAAAGCACAACAAAACTCACACACTTGGGAAGATGCCAGGAACCCAGATAAGCCTTGATGATACCAGATAAATTCACAGTTTGCTCCCAACAACTTGCTGTGTGCAGCTTCCCTTTTTAAACACTGTGTTCCCAGCTGCAGCTAATGAAGGGAATCAAGGCCGTTTCCTCCCCCGTAAGCCACGCAACTCTCATTGCTCCCTTCTCCGTTCCTCCCTGCGTGCTGTAGGATGAAGAGGGGGTGGGCCTGAGTCTTCCTCTCCCTTGCTCTCCCTTGCCCCTGCTCTGCCCAGCAGGACTTTGCCCTTCCAGTTTCTTCCACAGCCACTGGAGCCACACTCCCACTCCCTGTCAGCTGCTCGGCCTCCCCCTCCGAATCAGATTCCGACAGGGGCATGACACGTATAAAAGCCTTGTTCCCTCTCTTAAAGACTTCAGATTGAGGATCTTGGACAAGTTCCACTTGAGTTCCTGCTTTCCCTATATGAATGGGCCTCCCTATATTTACCTGTAACAGTGGGGTTTTATCCAAACATGTTCCTGAACTTGTAATTTCACAGGCAGCGAGAGTCAAGATCATGGCTCTTTGTTAAACCGGTTTTATTACCCACATAAGAAAACCACAAAGATTCCGCAGGTTTTGGCTCCAATCTATTTGTGGCCCAGATTCAAGTCCTACCTGAGCACCTAAATGAATGGAGAGTCATTTTCCTAGTGGAAAGAGCTGCCAACATCTGGGCATGGTTACTGCAGGGCCCTTGACCATTTTCAGCCTGGATCTGTCTGGTCCTCACATGCACGCTGCTTACACAGTTTCCATAAACATTTTGATAACTGTTTCTTTTGTTGCTTCCTATTACATTACCCTGGTTATTTATTTAGATTTTCAAAACAAATACAGTCATTGTAAAGCTTTTTTGGATCTCCTATTACAGTAGGTTTTATTCCTTCATCTTGCTATTGTAATTGATGCAGTACGCATGTTGTCTGACATGCAGGCGTTTTAATTTTCCTAATTCACACATCAAAAAGGGTGTTAATGATATCACGTTCTTTAAAAAAAAAAAAGAACACCTCTGCTCATGAAGGATATGTGCATCTTGTTCTGTGACTTTAAACCCATTTTCCCCGTGCGTTATGAGTTTACGTGGTTAATGGCATGTTCGAATACACCCATTGCTAAATGCCTTGAAAGAATTGCTGAAAATGGAGCAGAATTGCCAAAAAGGTACAAGCAAAAGTAGAAAACATTTCCTTTAAATCTATCGTGCCAAAGAGAATCTACCATCCAGATTCTTCTTTTTTTTATGGAAAATGGATATCATTTAGGCAATTTTTTTTACAGTGCAAAGCCATTCCTCCTCCTCCTCCTCCTCCTCCTCCTCCTCCTCCTCCTCCTCCTCCTCCTCCTCCTCTCGGCAAACCCCTCTCCCTTCTATCCCTGATGATGTTGCCTAGTTGGGTAATGAAATGTCTGCAAGAAAATCCCCAAGTTCAGAGAGCACTAAGGACCCCACACTTCACCTCTTCCCTCTCCTCTTCCTCCTCCACCTCTTCTTCCTCCTCATCCCGGCAAACCCCTTTTGCTTCCATCTCTGATATAATGAAATGTCTGCAAGAAAGCAATTAAACTCCAAGTATACTAAGGAGTCCACAAACCTCCTCCTCCTCCTCTTCTCTCCAAACCCCTCTCCCTTCTCTCTCTGATGCCATCACCTAGTTGGGTAGTGAAACATCTGCAAGAAAACAACCAAGCTCGGAGAACTCTAAGGACCTCACAATCCTCCTTTTCCTCCTCCTCTCTACATTTCATTTGCATGTGTTAATTCCAAGCGCTTCTCTCCTGAACTAAGGAACCGGTGGTTTCTCCCAACGTAGCTCTACCCTAACCATAAGCCCACACTGTGGTTGAGATTTAAAGATACCAGAAACACCCGGAAGGCTGGAGTTTTCCCATCCCTGCTCTTTTCAGTGCTCAACTTGCCATGGGTTATATTGTCTTGGTTACATATCATGCTCCTGGTTGTCTCCAGAAAAGGCCCAAGTTAGGAAGCCATCAAAGCCAACTCTTGGCTGAGTCCACTTACAAAGTGAGAGCAGCCCTTCAGAATGTGATCAAATTATGTCGTACACAAAACGTGTGTGTATGTGTGTGTGTGTGTGTATGTTCCCTTTTAGAAAATGAAATAACTTTTTATAAGGGACACGGTGGAAAGGTCAGCAGTTCGGCGGTTTGAATACCTAGCGCCGAGTAACGCAGTGAGCTCCCGTTACTTGTCCCAACCTAGCAGTTTAAAAGCATGTAAAAAAAATGCAAGTAAAATATAGTTCCCTTTGGTGGGAAGGTAACAGCGTTCTGTGTGCCTTCAGCGTTTAGTCATGCCAGCCACATGACCACGGAGACGTCTTCAGACAGCATTGGCTCTTGGACTTTGAAACGGTGATGAGCATCACCCCCTAGAGTCAGAAACGACTAGCACAGATGTGCAAGGGGAACCTTTACCAGTAGAATAGATAGGAATAGAATAGAATAGAATAGAATAGAATAGAATAGAATAGAATAGAATTTTTATTGGCCAAGTTTTATTGGACACACAAGGTATTTGTCTTGGTGCAAATGCTCTCAGTGGACATAAAAGAAAAGATATATTCATCAAGAGTCAAGAATCATCAGGTACAACATTTAATCATAGTCATAGGGTACAATCTGTGGGAATAACTCTGACTCCAGTATTGAGTAATGATTAATCTAAGACCTTATACATACATGTCTGCCTAAAGGTCACCTAGATAAAACAAGGAAATTAAAAGTAAACACCAGAAACAATCAAGCAGCTCAGACAATTGTAAATAATTCTGTGTATTATGTTTAATTATTGTAATCCACAATGTGAATGCTTACTATGTGTAAAATTCTCAATAAAAAGCACTAGAAATTGCTCTGGACTCCCATCCCGAGTTCACTCATTTGTGTCTCATCCTTTCCATGGGAGTCCACCACACAATCAACAATCAAATCATACTAGGAAACAGTCCACATAAATCGTAAGGATACAAGCGACAAAGTTACACCCATACAGTCACAAGGGGGAGGGGATGAGAGATAAGAGTGATGGGAAGACTTTGTAAATAGTTGGACAGTGTTGAGGGAATTATTTGTTTAGCAGAGTGATGGCATTCGGAAAAAAACTGTCCTTGTGTCTAGTTGTTCTGGTGTGCAGGGCTCTATAGTGTTGTTTTGAGGGAAGGAGTTGAAACAGTTTATGTCCAGAATGTGAGGGGTCTGTAAATATTTTCACAGCCCTCTTTTTGACTCGTGCAGGATACAGGTCCTCGATGGAAGGCAGGTTGGTAGCCATTGTTTTTTCTGCAGTCCTAATTATCCTCTGGAGTCTGTGTCTGTCCTGTTGGGTTGCAGAATCAAACCAGACAGTTATAGAGGAGCAGATGATACTCAATAATTCCTCTGTAGGACTGGATCAGCAGCTCCTTGGGCAGTTTGACCTTTCTGAGTTAGCACAGGAAGAACATTCATTGTTGTGCTTTTTTTATGACATTTTTGACGTTAGGTGTCCATTTTAGGTCTTGTGATATGATAGAACCCAGAAATGTGAAGGTCTCTACTGTTGATACTGTGTTGTCTAGTATTGTAAGAGGTGGTGGTACTTTTTAAAAGCCAACTCTTGGCTGAGTCCATTTACAAAGTGAGAGCAGCCCTTCAGAATGTGATCAAATTATGTCGTAAAACGTGTGTGTGTTTTGTTTTTTCTTCCCTTTTAGAAAATGAAGTAAGAACTTTCCCAGTCTTAATTAGTGACCAGAGTGAGATCATTGACACTAATGGAGCCGGAGATGCCTTTGTAGGTGGTAAGTACCTTTTGCATGTGATTCTGTTTGGAGATCTATCTGTTCTTCACCCTTCTTCCTCTCCTTAACTGGCAACTTCATCAGCCAATGTGATGACAAAGGGGTTGGTAGTTTGTTTGTTTTTCCCCCCAAACAGAGAGCATCAAGTTTGTTTTTTGCAAGCCTTCATTTGCATCCTAAGAGTCTGTTTTAATGGATTGTTAATTCTCTCAGGGGAAAAAAAAACGTGTTGGTACCTTTAGCAGCATCTACCTTGTTTTCACAAGATTAATTGTGCCTGTCAGAATGTTGCGTAAAGAAAATGGCCTCAAATGTGCTTTGTTGGAGTCCTCCAAATTCTAGTCTGGCTCAAAAAACCTTAGCACATTGCTCTTCTTTTTAGCAGGTTGTGGCGAATATTGCAGAGTATGAAAATAACTCATATTTGAACCTTAAACTCCCCCCCCCACACACACACTTAGTTGCATCTGTTTCCTAGGCTGATGGTGGGTAAATGCCCCTCCCCCAAGTGATATGCTTTTAAGAGTCAGAAATAGCAGAACATCTGCTCGGATTTATATCTGATCTCAATTTTTCTAAAAAATATTGGGAAGGGATGACTCTCAGTCCGCATTGTTTAAAAATGCCTCAAATAAATCAAAACCTCCTGTAGCTGCAAAGTTATCTTGTTGACTATAAATCTCTGCATCCTGCAACAACAGAGGCTCTTTCGCTTTGAAAATGGTTAGTGCTTGAAAGCCCTTAAAGTTGTCCACAACCCTCTCCTTATTTTTCTCAAAACCCAGGACTTGTTCTTATGGTGTGACTATGGTTGTTGTTGCCACATCAGAGGAAGAGAATATATCAGAGTCTTCACTTCTTGGCTCAAGTCTGTAACAATCTAGGTTTACCTTGAGCCACCAATCTTGTACTATCAGGTCTGCGTTGCAGAACTCTAGACTGTCCCTAGGTGACAGCAACATGGTTCAGAAAACACAAATGTGGCTGCCCTCTGGTGGTTGTTTGGGTATTAGTCCAAATGTGACAGAAACAGAATTCTCCTCTTCTTCCTCCTCCTTCTGCTTCTCCTCCCCCTCTTGCTCCTTCTCTTCCTCCTCCTCCTGACTCAAAAGACCAGAGGATGGTTGGTTGAAGGTTTGTTCTGACCAAGGTTTCCTGAGACCATAATTAAGCACATGTTTAGTCCAAACAGTCCTTCAAGATAAGCACCCACCTTTCTCTCCTTTGAATTGCTGCCAACAACTAAAGTGCCAAAATAACATTAAAAAAAAAACCAACCGAGTACAAATTCCACACAGAGCTTCAAGGTTTAATCCAAACAGAGCGAATGACTTTGCTTCCTGCAAAGGTTTCTTCACCTTTGCCTGTTCTTTATAGGGGAGGGGCAATCACTTCCAAGCCTTACTTCTGAGTCGCCCCTTTTGTCCTAGCTGCTCTTGCCTTCTGGCAGCTCTGCGCACATGTGCACTGGGAACAGGCTCCCCTGGTTCCTCTGCCTCGCTGCTGCCAGACTCCAGAGGCTCCAGAGTCAGCACCCCACTCCCAGATGGTCCTGGCCCCATCTCTGCATCGGACACAGGACCCTCGTCCGAGTCCTCCCCAGACTCCCGGACTGGTCCCCGTTCGTCCCCACTGTCCGATTCTACTGCTGTCTGCATAGGCTGCCGGCGAACCACAACAAAGTTATCCTAAAAGCATTTACCTGTGATGACCCAGAGTGTAACACAAACGTAACAAAATCCAAAACTTAAATAAATGTCCTTTAATGCCTCCAATTTGGCCCCACTGTTCAATAATACTCAGTTGGAGATAAAACGTACTCAAAAATAGTCTTCAAAAGAAAACAATACAGTCCAAATTTAATGAGCAGATAGAGGTGAAATAAAAAAGCAAACAAACTACAATGACGAAATTTCCACAAAGGAACAAGAGAAGTATTTACCAAATTCAAGGAGATAGTCAAAGCACAGTCTGTTGGAAGGACGCCAACCAAGATAACTTCAGACCAAAATAAAACATGCTTTGTTTCCAGCGTTTGCCAGTACGCAGGTCCAAACTCTTATTCAGTTGTCATACCTGCAGCCCATGAAGAGGATCAAGGCCCTCTCCTCCCGAGAAGACCACATTTCTCCCTTATCCTCTCCTCCCTGCATGCCCTAGGATGATAGGGGATGGGCCTGGGTCCTCCTCTGACTGCTCAGCCGACCTCTGCACTTCCCCAGCCTCCTCCACAACCTCTGGAGCCACACGTCCACTCCCTTGTCGGCTGTTCCTCCTCTCCCTCAGAGTCAGTCTCCACCAGGGGCATGACATTACCTGTGTTATCGGATGATGAGCTCATTCTATTCCCTAAGCATTGTAGCAAGGAAAAGAAACGATGAGAACCAGTTGGAGAGATGGAATCATAGATTCCCCATTCTTCTTTTAGTAGTAGCAGTTACCATTAGAAAAAGCTAAGGCCAGACAAGGCATTGGGATTGAATTCTAAATACGTTCTGTTCTGAATGCATTTTTAGCTAAACTCCATCCTGGAGGTAAACAGTGGGAGGCTTCCTAATGGACTTGCAAAATTTGTGTAGCTTTACTGAGAGCTGATCTCCCCAGGTTCAGCTTCCAAGGGACAATATTTACTTAGCGTTAACAGATGGAAAGCAACAGTTTTATATAAAGGGCACTGAGTGTAGCAGAGAAAATCTACCTACTTCTCTGTACTCGCGTCTGAATATTTTGCTGGCGACCAAATAGAGATTATTATTTTTTTTAAGAATGAATATTTGGAGGGTTTAGACTATTTGGAAAAGAAGAGAATTGATGGAGCCAATTATTCATGCTTCATTTGTCAGACTCAGGAGAGTCTGCATCTGTGGGATGGCACAGAAAGAAAGTTAAGTAGGAGAGCTAGAGAGAAAAAGTTCTGGCAAGACTGTGTGTGAGAGAGTAAAACTTGGTGAGAACCGGCTGCATCCTGAGTAAGAATTAAAAGTAGAGAGAGAAGTATGCCTTGTCTAACAGAGTGTCTGAGAACCAGATTGACTCCCATCACGAGTTGCAAACCTAAAACTTTTATTTCCTGCTTTATTTCCGGACAGTCCAGTTGCCTCTTGAAAAAAGCCCCTTTGGGTTATTTCCTGCATATCTGATCTTTGAAAAATCCAGACAGATTTAATAGCAAAAAATCTTGATAGGAAAACAAAAAAAGATTAAACCAAGCAGAAGTCAAGAAACGGAAAATGGAGCGATGCCAGCAATGTTGGTGATTTTTTTTTTAACTCTAGAACAAATAACTGGATTTCTGTACTGCTAATAAACCTTAAGTCTTGCGGACTTCAACTCCCAGCTGTGCTGACTGAGGAATTCTGGGAGTTGAAGTCCACAAGTCTTAAGGGTGGCCAAGGTTGCAGACCCCTGCTTTAAGGATTAAAAAGAGCTTTCTTAAGAAAATCACATCAGTGTTAACAAATAAAACAAATATCAGCAGCACCAGGGGGGAAAAAAACTCAGCTGAAAATACTAATATAATATAACCCAAATCTGCAGCTAAGAACCAAGGACAGAATCAAGAAGAGATTCCTCTTATTCCTCTTCTGCATCCCATCCTATTTGATTTCCTGCTTCGTTCCTGCCCTTTCCAGTGGCACGTAACAACCGGTTTGGTGAGCGCATGCTTCACGCGGGTGCTCTACAGCAGTGGTCCCCAACCTTTTTTGTACCAGGGACCGGTTTCAAGCAGAAACATTTTTTCAAGGACCGGGGGGGTGGGGGGGAGAGAATCCGAGTTTGGTACTTTGCTTGCAGACGTTTCATTACCTGACTAGGTAACATCTGATGTTGTTACCTAGTCGGGTAATAAAACGTCTGCCAGCAAACCACCAAGTTCAGGGAGCGCCTCGGCCCTGCCTCCCTCAGCCCCATCCCTCAGGTGTCTCCCTCCCTCCCTCCCTCCCTCAGGTGTCTGCCTCGTTCCTCTCTCAGTCACTCTATCGCTCCTCCAGCAGCCCAAGAAGCCGGGGGGGTGGCTTTTCCTGTCGCCACAGCTTCCCCGAAGCGCCCGTTTCACCCCCACCCCGCCCGCCCGCCCGCTCGCGGTTCAATCCACAGTGCTCCGTTCTACCTGCCTGCCTGCCTGCCTTCTTCGTTTCGGAGCAGCTTCGGCTGATAAAAAGAGGCGAATAGTTATTATTCTCAGCCGAAGCTGCTCCTAAACAACCAGGCAGGCAGGCAGGCAGAACGGAGCACTGTGGATTGAACCGCGAGCGAGCGGGCGGGCGGGGTGGGGGTGAAACGGGCGCTTCGGGGAAGCTGCGGCGACAGGAAAAGCCACCACCCCCCCCGCTTCTTTGAAGCAGTTTCTTCCTGGGCTGGTGGAGGAGCGAGAAAGCGACTGAGAGAGCTGAGCCAGAGAGCAGGACAGGCTTCGGTTGCTTCCTCCCTCCCCTTCTTTCATTTGTGTCCTTGATCCCCGATCCCAGCAGCATTCACCGAAGGCGAAGAAAGCCGCCATTTTTTTTATTTTTTTTTCTTTGCGGCCCGGTAAAGAGTGCTCCACGGCCCGGTACCGGTCCGCGGCCCGGTGGTTGGGGACCCCTGCTCTACAGTTTAAAAAAGCACATTTTCAAACTCAATTACTTACCTTCTACTGCAGCCCCTGGGACTAAAACAGCTGAGTCGCCACGCAAATCAGCTGTGCTAAAAAAAAAAACCAGGAAATAAAGCACAGGAAAGAGTAGGGGTGTGTGGGTGGGGCCAAATGCTCACCGGAACTACTGTTTCACCCAAACCAGTGCGAACCGGTAGAATCCCACCCCTGCCCCTTTCCAGATGTGGGGGCTACCTGTACTCCCCATTTAAATGTCATTGTCAGGATTCCGGCAGTTACCCCTATTTAAATCATGAGTCTCGAGCCAAACTTCCAAAACTTAAAAAGGATTTAATTCATATTCTCCAATGGGGACACATCCATAGTCAAGAGTCATCAATCATGCTCTCCAGTTAAAATTTTG